TCCCCCACCAAATATAGCAAACAACTGAATTACATAAAAATACGGAAAGTCAGCATTATTACATAGAAAAAGAAAGGAAGAGGATTTGCCAAATGACCAGGATCTGACATGAGAGCACAAATGGGGGGGCCACTTCAATTCCACAAGGGTAATAATAATAATAATAATAATAATAATAATAATAATAATAATAATAATAATAATAATAATAATAATAATAATAATAATAAAGTTGGAAGGGACCTTGGAGGTCATCTAGTCCAACCCCCTGCTCAGGCAGGAAACCCTATACCATTTCAGACAAATGGCAGTCCAGTCTCTTCTTAAAAACTTCCAGTGTTGGAGCATTCACAACTTCTGCAGGCAGGTTGTTCCACTGATTGTTCTAATTGTCAGTAAATTCTCCTTAATTCTAGATTGCTTCTCTCTTTGGTTAGTTTCCATCCTTTGCTTCTTGTCCTGCCTTCAGGCGCTTTGGAGAATAGCCTGACTCCCTCTTCTATGTGGCAGCCCCTGAGATATTGGAACAGTGCTATCATGTCACCCTTCATCCTTCTCTTCATTAGACTAGATATACCCAATTCCACCAACCATTCCTTATATGTTTTAGCCTCCAGTCCCGATCCTTTTGTTGCTCTTCTCTGTACTCTTTCTAGAGTCTCAACATCTTTTTTACATCGTGGTGACCAAAACTGGATGCCGTATTCCAAGTGTGGCCTTACCAAGGCATTGTAAAGTGGCTACTATTGAGCAAGGTACCACCTATACTATACATGTGCATTTGGTTTTTCTTGCCTAAATGTAGAACCTTACTTTTTTCACCATTGAATTTCATTTTGTTAAATAGCGCCCAGTGTTCAAGTCTGCCCAGATCTTCCTGCCAGCTTGGTGTCATCTGAGTTCCCCATCTATCCCCTCATCCAAATCATTGATGATGATGTTGAAGAGCACTGGGCCCAGAACAGAGCCCTGGGGCACCCCACTACACACTTCCCTCCATGTAGATGTAGTAGGATTTAGAGAATTTCTAGCAGACTAGCCTAGTGCTATTGAAGTTTTGATAGACAGCTGGTAGCAGAGTGACAACAAGCAAGGCTGTCATGGCCCATTGGGGAGGGGTGTGTGTTTACCTTAGCCTGGAACAGATGGTATCAACACCCTATCCCACCCATTACTAGTTCCTCAGCTATTTCTGTGAGATGGGTACCAAAACACAATAGATTTTATGCACCTGGCAGCTGTTGTTGTATTTTATCAGCTAATGGCAACCACAGACTTAGTCTGGGTTAGTTTGGGTGAACAGGAAAAGGGAAGTGAAAGTTTACTTGTCTTGGATGTGTGTGTTTACATCATCTCTATTCCCTGCACACTCAGAAGATGTAAATAAAAATCACATAACCTCAAAAAAATAATTTCCTTTTTAAACTCTAAAAAAATTCCCAATGTAGCTGTTACTACTAGGGGCTGCCCTAAGAGCCACCAATAAAAAGAAAGAAAGAAAAACAACCCACAACTTTTAATACTGGAAGTGTTAACAATGGTAAACCTATTTCACTTATGGGATAGAAATGAAAAGTAGGTACGGTATGCACATATAAGAATAGTTTGTGTTGTGTTACTTTCATTCCTTGGGAAAAAATAGTCAGATTCTACAGCTCCTTCTGGTAGGGAGAGATAGTATATTGACTTCACTTTAAACTTCAGGACAGTTTTTACTGTATGTTATAAATGTTTTATAAGCTACTTTCAGTTTTAGAAAAATAAACGTTATGAGTTTTTAAAATGCCAGTGTGTTAGAATTCCATTTAACATTAGCAGTATTTATAAAAAGGTTTAAAACCAGCATAAAATTAAGGGCAATTAATGCCATTATCAAATACATGGTGAAACAGGTTATTACTACAACACAGTTTTTTTTAACAACCATACATTCTTGAAAAGTGCATAATCATCGCATAAAATACAATTATATTAAAAGCCTCTGAAGGGGTTTTTTTTTGCAAAAATTATTTATTGATCTCATTCAGTTTTATTTCTGTAATCATAAAAAGAAATAAGCAGTATTAATTTTTAAAAGTATTTCAATCCACATGTAACTGAGAATAGTTTCATAATTTAAAAAATGACAAACATCTAGAGATAACACAATTGTATTAACAAAATCAAAATGGCTACTTTATGAAATCATTTGGCTGGACATAACCATTTGGAGCAGCTAAACAAATGTGCCAATATCTAATTGCTCAAACTAATCCCTTTTCTGTCAGTGGGTATTTTTAAGTATCCCAACCTCTCTTAATGAGCATCTATATCACCTGAATAGATGCAATTAATATTGGCACTAATTCCATACCTTTACAAAGGCTGAAAGCATCATTAGGGTCTTTGGTAGTTTTGCTTTCTGCCAATGTTCAGAATCAAAACTGTATTTCAAGGACACAAATAACCACTTCTAGGCCAATCTACAGGCAAACTGTTTTTGTTTTTTAATCAGAATAATTTATGCTGACAATCCTTAGCTCTCACATCCACAAACATGATGCTGGATTACAAACTTAAAGGGATGCTTACAAGGAAATAGTTTGGCTTAAAATTACTTCAGGGTTTTTTTGGCAATTATTTGTTTGGATCTAAGGAACAAATCAATTAAACCTATCATCTGTTATCTTCACATGGAGCAGAATTGGAAAGATTTTAATGTTCCTGGGTTTATGAAGTAAAATCAATTCTGTAATTCTTTTCGCTGTATATAAGCTACCACTTTGAAATCTGTTAATAAAAATTGCCTTGCTAAATGGCCAAAATTTCCCCGAGTGCTTAGTATTGACAGATATGCCTCTTAAAAGTGATTAGTCGTTATGGCTAGACTACTAAATAAATGACATTCAGTATCAATGCTGCCATGATCTGAGAGGTACAAATAAGAAAGTATATACTGAACACAGAAACCATTCACTGTTTTTATGTAGTACTGTTTCCCCACATAGTACTGTTTCAACAGAATGGTAAGCAAAAATATTATTTTATACACAAATTATTTTGTGTATATACTATATTATTATTTTATATACAAATCAGCAATAATGAGGTTTTGAAGCATGCTACTTTCAAAACTGAGATACAGCTCTGTGTCCACATTTTTCTAGAACTGATCACAATTATGTTCCCTTATAGCTGACTTCATACATGTTCTGCATTGAGAATGCCAAACCCTGACTTATGAGTTCCATAATTATATAAGATTGTGATATTCCTCAACTAAAGCAATTGGGGGAGGGGCAGAGAGGATTGGGTTGTACCATTGTCTGTTCTTTATTCTTTATTTGTGAAAGTAGCCCAGAGATTGGACAATTCTTTGGAGGCAAAGTGCATTCCATACAAAAAGCTGAATCTACTATTTAATCAAAGAACGTCTAAATCAACTATATATTTTAACTGATTACAGTGTCAGTCCTACATGAAATTAACTAAGAAGCTCCTCTGAATTCACTAAAGTTTGCTCCCAGTCCCAGGTGAATATTGATTGCAATTTGAATATACATAGATTCACATGTGAATTAAACGAAAAATCGTCTTGATTAATCAATCAAACATTTTAGGTATGCTACACAGTTTAGCACCTGACAAAATATTTGTAGATACTGTAGAATAGATATACATTCATAACATCTGACTGCTTGTCTCCCTAGTGAAAATGTGGCACTAAAATGTAGTGTATAACGAATTGAAGCTATAAAGTGATAATTTAATTAAATATTTAAGAATCATACTTGTCCCTGTACTGGGTGGGCAATAAACAGCCTTCAAGTGAACTCTTTTTGTGATTCTTAGTCTTTTCTTCCCATGACTTCTGAAAACTAATGGCAGTTTCCATTATTCTGAGTTCAGAAATATATTAAAAAGCTCTAAAATATGCATGTAACAAAAATATTCCCCAGACATCCAACCTGAACTCTACATATGATGTGGTTCCACCTATTTTACAGACATCAACATTAAGTATACACCAGCAACCAAAAGGAAAAGCATCCTTATTTTGCACTTTAGTGCTACACTTTGGCTCCTCTGATGATGTTCAGCAAATCAACACAAAGTAAGTAGATACAATACATTCCATATATGAAGTGTTCTGTTTTGGGTGGCCCACATTCAGACCTGGAACATGCATGTTCCGGTAGAAATGTTTCAGAGACAGGTAACAGGAAAAAGCTAATGACATCAGCAAGTGTGTCTGGCAGGGAGGTAGGGAAAGGAAGTAACTAAGAATATGGGTGGGTGGATGGGTGGATGGGTAGGTGAGCAGACCAGTTGGATATATTGGTGGCATCAATTTAGGGGAGGTAAGCAAAGGGAGATCCTATGAAAAGATATATCACACTTGAAAAAGAAATCAGCAACATCTAGCAGTGTTTCTCAACCTTGACAATTTTAAGGCATGTGGACTTCAACTCCCAGAATTCCACAGCCAGCAATGCTGGCTGTGGAATTCTGGGAGTTGAAGTCCACAGGCCTTAAAATTGTCAAGGTTGAGAAATACTGATCTAAGGGGAAGTAGGAAAAGGAATACCCTGAGAGAATCAGCAAGCAGCCTATGCAGAGAAAGGGAAAAATATACCTGGGCAAAATGCTTGAGATTGTAAGACCCTTCCAGAATTGTTTCAGCGCAAACCCAGAATAATCAAAGTGTTCCAGGTTTCAATTCCACCAATTCCAATCTATTCAGAACTGTCTGTCAGAACATGTAAAATACAATGGGTTTATTTCAGTTAGGAATTCACTTTCCATTTTCCATATGCTCTTACTAGAAATGTACAACGATGAATTTTACAGAAAAAAAATACATATGGTAAGGTTGCAATCCTATGCGTTATTTCAAGTCTCAGTGAATTTGATTAGGGTTCGAATAACCATGTGTGTATTAAAAGAACAGCAATAGTAGAATTTCCATAATGTCTATTCTTAAAACTCAAGTAGACCTGATTAAAAAAGAGTGACTCTCTGGGGTTTTTTTTTCCCACATTGTAGTCTGTGATCTCCATCACTACTGATTGATAAGGGAATAAAACCATTTAGAACTGTGGTTTTAAATATATCTGTATTCCATAATCTTTCCAATCAACTTGTGGTTTGGAAAGGTGACTACTGCCTCAGGATGACCACACTGCACTTATCAAATGTTGCGATAACCTATACTTCTGGCTGCTGCTTCCCACTCCACTGTGAAAAACGTAATTGTCCCAAAAAATCCAACGATTGCCATTATTAGAAGTTGCCACTGAAGAAACAAATAGTTGCTGTAGAAGAAAGCCACAGCTGCACAGATAGACTGAAAAGGAGAAAAAAACCATGTTGTAAATGCAATCTTAATGACAAACCGAGTTATAGACATTGATTTTTAATGCCATCTCACCTCCACTTTTAATTACTGGAACATAAACTTTCCTAATCATATTTCTTTATAGAAGCAAATACACTTATTCCAAACTGGACATGTCCAACATACATATTACTTTTGGGGAGACTGTTGTTTGTGTACACAAAATCCAGCACAGTATTTCAAATTGTAGATTGAACGGCCTAGTATTTTGACTCTTATCTTTTCAATTTTATCCATTTTGCTTTTTAAATTGAATTACTGATATACATCAATTTTGCATTTCATTTAAATATCATTTAATGGATTAATGGATTATGTCTAATTTGGAGTGAGATCAGTAGAAATTACTTCTGAATAAAAATAAGACAGTGTTGTAAAAATACTAAAATATATTTTCTATATAAACATGCCACCTTGAATTCCAGGATACTTTTGATGGAGACAAGTCAGGCTATATAACTAACAATAAACAAAAATATACTGGATGCACTACCATAACCCAACTGTTCCTTTATAGTTTTTATTTGATAATATCACAGACACTTTTCTCAGAAATTAATTCTACTGTCCCTTTTTCCTAGCACAAAGGGCAAAGTTTCCTTTAAGCCATGCTCAATTTCTGATGACTAAATAGATAGATCCATAAAATTCTTTGGCAACTGTATAGCAATATAGTATGGTACTACTTCCAGAATGTGGTAATCGTGGGTGGAGGGATTAGCCCAGTCTATAGGGATTTCTGGTAGTTCCTTGCCAAATATTATCATGCCTAATTGTGCTTAATAATCAAGTGAGACAAGGTCAGCTAAGTGCTATGACCTGCTCAGACATTTTACCCAAAGAAAATGGAAGACTTATCTTCTGGGTTTAATAGTATCAGGCTAGAAACTGGGAAGCCATGAGTTCTAGTCCCACTTTAGGTACAAAGCCTGTTGGGTGACCTGGGGCCAGTTATTCTTTCTCAGCCATAGGAAGAAGGAAAATCACTTCCAAAAAATCTCGCCAAGGGATTACAATTGTCCTCGACTTACAACCACAATTGGGACTAGAATTTCCATTGCTAAGCAAGGAGGTTGCCCAATTTTATATAATAATACATGCCAGTTGCTAAGTGCCAGTGACCATGAGGGGTGGTGGTGCTATGATGGTTGTGTGGAGACTGTTTATAAGTCAATGCTGTTGTAACTTTGAATATTTGTTAAAACAATTCGTTGTAACTCGAGGGCTATCTGTAGTCCAGGCAATTTCTAGGAGTCAAAAACTGACTCCTAGAACTCCTAGAACTGAGTCACCAACTGGTTCTGCCACTTGGAAATAGATATTACCTGAATGAATTTAAATATTGCAAAGGCAGGTGCACTGTCTTCAGAATACAAGAATCCCAAAATACTAAGGAGTTGAGTGTTGAAACAGCTATCTCCAAAGCCCAGTAAGAAACTGCAAAAAATGGCCAGTTCTTTGCTAAAATAAAGAAGCAGTAAACAATAAATTCAAAATTATAACTGAAAAACAGTATTATGTTCAATTCTATCATTTCTGATTTTTTTCAGGATTGAGAAATACAACTAGAAAAGTGGCCAATCACGGAAGATTAGTAAAGAGATATTTTATATGAACATGATATTTTTTAAAATAGCCTTTCCCAATCCAGCCTTTCATTGTGTGATGTATTTCCAAAACATTTTTATGCTGCAAAATTGGAGAAAACCATTTCAGAGTATTTCTAAGTTTTACTTAATCATTTAATTAATTTATATAGCCACCTGTATTAAATGTATGACTCTGGGTGGCTGATAAACAAATATTAAAACACCAAAACTATTTTAAAAACTGCAGTTTAAAAATAATTAAAATACTGTATATAAAAAAAAACGTTAAAACCACACATTACAGTTTATTTAGCACAGATATCAGAATAAATGCTATAGAGCCGTGGTGGCGAACTTATGGCACGGGTGCCACAGGCGGCACGCGGAGCCGTCCTTGTGGACACGCGCGCCATCGCCCCAGGAGGAGGCCGGGCCAGGCTGCTCCCCTCCGCCTCTCCACATGCACTCTTGCTCTCTCTTGGCCATGGGAGGGCGTGAAATCGCTCTGGAGGCATAGATCCGGGCAGCAGAGGCCATGCCCACCCAGCGGGCCACGCCCACCCAGCACCCAGAAATACATAAGTGGGTTTTGGGTTGCAGTTTGGGCACTCGGTCTCTAAAAGGTTCGCCACCACTGCTATAGGGCCACTTTTCTCTAATATCACCTTCTCTCAGGAATTGTATATCATTTGTTTGTAAATAACCTTTGACATACATTTACAAAATAGTGGACAACAATGGAATTCCTTTCTTATAATTCTTCCAACCTTCAATATGTTGTGATTGGGACTATTAATAGTGTTCTCTGTTAGAGTCACTGATTTCAGGTAAGGCCCAATAATCATCAAAATTAATATGCCTCTTTCTCATAACACTGTCATGGCATTTTATGTCAAACAGAAAAAGATTGATGTTGTTTTGTTATGGTGCCTTTTTTGATCAGTGTAACTTTATAGATTTCCAGTACTTGAACCAAATGGGTTCAGATCCATCCATTTTAATAATAATAATAATAATAATAATAATAATAATAATAATAATAACAACAACAATAACAACAACAACAACAACAACAATAATAATAATAGAGTTGGAAGGGACCTTGGAGGTCATCAAGTCCAACCCCCTGCTCAAGCAGGTAACCCTATACCAGTGGTTCTCAACCTTTTTAATGCCGCGACCCCAACCGGTTGTAAGTCAAGGACTAAACCGGTCGTAAGTCGAGGACTAAACCGGTCGTAAGTCGAGGACTAGACCAGTCGTAAGTCAAGGACTACCCAACCGGTCGTAAGTCAAGGACTTTCCCTGCCCGGGAGCGCCGCGCACGTGTGGTTCCGCCCCCTGCGCCGGCCGAGGCGTATCTGGCAAGCAGCAGAGACAGAGCAGGCCGACCACCAGCTGGCCCGGCCCAAGGGAGGTAAGGCACCCGCCGGAAAAGGGGGGAAAAAATTGGCGGACAAAAAAAATGGTGGACAGCCTTGCTTGGCGACCCCCGTGAAATGGTCGATCGACCCCAAATGGGGTCCCGACCCACAGGTTGAGAACCACTGCCCTATACCATTTTGGACAAATGGCTGTCCAGTTTCTTCTTTAAAAAGTCCAGTGTTGGAGCGTTTATCGCTTCTGGATGCAGGTTGTTCCACTGGTTAATTGTTCTCACTGTCAGGAAGTTTCTCCTTAATTCTAGGTTGCTTCTCTCCTTGATTAGTTTCCACCCATTGCTTCTTGTCCTGCCTTCAGGCGCTTTAGAGAATAGCTTGACTCCCTCTTCTTTGTGGCAGCCCCTGAGATATTGGAACACTGCTATCATGTCCCCCCTCATCCTTCTCTTCATTAAACTAGACATACCCAATTCCAGCAGCCTTTCCTTATATGTTTTAGCCTCCAGTCCCCTAATCATCTTTGTTGTTCTTCTCTGTACTCTTTCTAGAGTCTCAACATCTTTTTTACATCGTGGTGACCAAAACTGGATGCAGTATTCCAAGTGTGGCCTTACCAAAGCATTGTAGAGTGGTATTAATACTTTGTGTGATCTTGATTCTATCCCTCTGTTAATGCAGCCTAGCACTGTGTTGGCTTTTTGCAGCAGAGAAGAGCAAATCTACCTTGAATTATCCTATGCCACTTTAGGATTTGTGCATGTGATATAGACACCATACTTTGTTTCTGTTATCATTTGATTGAATTACAGTTTGTGACCATTAAACCATACACTGCATATTAATCAAGATTCATAATTCATTTTAGAATGGCCTGTAGAAATTAGCTTAAAGTACCTGAAGGGATCATTTAGCTATAGTTTCACCTGAGAAAAGCTTAACACACACAAACACACACCGTTTATCTTCAAACAGAGCTTATATGATTGAAGAATTTCCAGTTATGAAAGTCTATAAAATGTCTAGTTCTATTCCATAATAGGGAAACATAAATGCAAAAAATAGCAGGATACAGGAATTTCAACCTGAAAGTTAGATTTTTCATCCTGACAATGAAAACATACAAAAAGATCTTCAAATGCTGGTAATTCATTATAGCAAACATGACTGTGACCAAGAAGGAAAAAAATTCCACAAATTTATTTATTTATTTATTTATTTATTTTTAAGACTTATATGCCGCCCTTCTCCCCACGGGACTCAGGGCAGCTCACAGCATATTAAAACAACATAGTACATTTCCCCAATAAAAGCCAATTAAAAACCAAATATTTGTAGCTGTGTCTCTTATTAAAATCATTAAAAATTATCCCTATTTAAAATTCACCCTAGGTCAGTCCCGCTTGCTGAAAAAGCCATGTCNACCAGTTGAAGCCTCCGGATGCTCCTCATGGGGAGCCCCATGTATAGAGCATTACAGTAGTCCAGGCGGGAGGTGACGAGGGCATGAGTGACTGTGCGCAAAGCGTCCCGGTCCAGAAAAGGGCGCAACTGGTAAATCAGGCGAACCTGATAAAACGCCCCCCTGGTCACGGCCGACAAATGATCTTCCAGTGTCAGCTGTGGATCCAGGAGGACACCCAAGTTGCGCGCCCTCTCTGAGGGGGCCAAAGTTTCGCCCCCTATAGACAGCGATGGAATCAGCTGACTATGCCGGGGCGCCGGCAACCACAGCCACTCGGTCTTGGAAGGGTTGAGTCTGAGTCTGTTCCTCCCCATCCAGACCCTGGGAAATAATTCCAGATTCTGTGAACTAGCTATATTTTCATTTACTACCTCTGCAGAAAAATATATACAGTATTTGCCTTTTAAGAATAATCTGAATGGAAGAAGCAAAAATACGTACCTTGGTTCCATGAATGCAATGTTATCTGTTCCTTCCATAGAGGCAATAGGTGCATCATTTGGTATATTACAAAAAATCAAATAGAAAGCTATGAAATGGACTACAATGCCCAACATCACCACTGGATTCCTGCCAAATCTGTTGTTCTTACTTAGGAGGCCAAAGATTCCTCCCCCTGTAACAGTGAACATATAATTATTATCCTATGGAAAATTGCTTTTTTTTAATACAGACGCTCACAGGATAAATTAAGGGAAAAGATTTTTACTGAAAATGTTAAAAGGAAATTGTTTTTTAGAAGACTAGTTTCTTAGGATTCCTGCCACTAAGGAAGTATCTTAATTGGAACAGCTGGAACCTATCTTAGCAGTACAGTATTACAAAATTCCAATAGCTGCCAGTTTATTACCATCATCCACAAGGAAGGTGCTTTCAGCTATGGTAATCTCCTGGGGGCACTGTCTCTTTAAGGAGACTCAGTAAGTACATACTAGTACGTGTCAAGCAAGATCTCTAAAGCTCTCTGAACTCTGTAGTTGTCTTGCAGACATTTCATTACCCAACTAGGTAACACCATCATTGCTAAATGGGAGCGGGATTTGCTCTCTGTTTATAAACAGTGCTTTGCCCTGACAGTATTGCTTTATAAATAGACTGCTGTCACAACAAATTGAAGTATTGGTCAACAAGTGGCCTGGTGTCATAGCAAACTGGAGCAATGCTATATTAATAATAATGTTACACTGGAATAACTTGAGTCATGTCGTTCTACCAAAACAATATATCTACTTTTTATACCGAACAAGATACTGAATTCACATATTCTGTAGTGATACAAAAAGAAGAAGGCAAAGAATAAGTATGTAAGACAACTTTGTTCATGAATTTAAAGCAAAAAAAAAACCCTCAAAAAACAACAAGAAGAAATCATCTGAAAATGGTCTGGGGAGTCTTGTTTAGTCTTTGTTCATTTGTTTTGAAATGGTAAAGTTGTGAGGACAACTGAGAACTTAGAGTGAGACCTGCCCTACTTGGTCATTCCTCTACACTGAAAGTTTAACAATTAATTTTGAACTACCTATTATCTTAGTTCTTTGCTGAATTACTTTATCTACCTGCATATTCTACAAACATATTTACTGATCACATTTATTTATCAAATTTATTTATTTAAATATCAGAAAATATTTTCTATTATTTTAGGCTCAGTTTGAACTCACCTAATATCTCTCCAATGCCAATGAAAATACCAGAGAGTCCGATAAGACTTTTTTCTTCGGCGCCAAATTTCTTTATAGCACCTATGCAAGTTCCATATACTCCAGAGAAGAATGTTAATTCCAGCCCTTGAAAAACCAAAACATTATTTCAGGCATTATTATATGCAAGTATTTATCCTTAAGTAAAACCCTTTCAAAGGAACTTTCAATAAATATTTCAATTATAATTATTTAGCAAAATTCCAATATCCCAATGAGCTATCACAAGACTCAATTAAAAAAATCAAACACCACTTAAAACACATGTAATTTACAGGTAGGTAACATATTCGTACATTCAAATACATTCAATGTATGTAATGTCTTTATGCCAACTGATAAATTATTAACTGGTCTTTGTATAGGTGGATCAAAATCTTATGGTCCTCAAATTACAATCTTCAGAATAGGATACGCCTTTTTGAATAAAGAAAATGACTATCCCTGCTGTTTGTTAACTGTATAGTAACCTAACAGATTATGAGGGCCAGAATTATTTGCATTTTTACCATAAATATTCCCCAAATTCAACAGCTCAATTCCAAAATGAATTAAAGACTTCCACAAGTTGAACTTTACATGTTGACTACTTGAACATGTCCATGAAGTTTTCTTGGCAATAATATAGGATGTTTCTTTTTCAATTTCCCAGTCAAAACAGCCCTGTCATTTCCTGGAGACTCTTATCCAAGCTCAAATCAGATTCAATCCAGCTTGAAATTTTTGAAATCAACCATTAAGTAGATGCTGCTACTTACTGTGACCAATTATAACATTTTTCTTAATTTAGTATCTTTCTAAGTATAAAATATCCTGGATTATCAAGGAGCTAGATTATGCCTTTCTAAAATTAAGAGACTGCTTTAATTTCAAAGATTTATTTCAGCAATTAAAAAGATCCTAGATAAAAAGTATTATAATTGAGTTTAAAATAAAATTGTACAAAGGGAACAAACAAAGAAAATGATATTTGGGGAATATTTATGGCAAAAATGCAATTTACAGTATAAAACATGTTTTATTAGTTTATGCCACAGTGCAGACGAAATCAACCAGTGTGGTATTTTACAGAAAGAAGCAGTAGATAGTAAGGAAGCATTGGTGTTGGGATTGTCAAGTTGACTTATGGTGTTTTAATACAAAGGAATCGTAAAAGTACTTTGGTGTTTTTTATTTTGTCCCAAAAAAAAGGCCCTTTAACAATAGCACTTCATTTTAAAAATAGTTTTTAACTGCAGAGAATTCTTAGGCACATTCTCTATACAAGTGGGTAGTCCTTGACTCATGACCATAATGGAATCTGCCCATTACGACTGAAAGTCATGCTGGTTATTAAGAAATACACCCATGTGAATGCCTCACTTACAATCCTCCAGCCTTGCTTCCCCCCAATGAAGTCATAAACCAGAGCAGGAGGTGCCTCAGGGATCCTGAGGAAGGCCCTGGAAGACTTAGCGCAGGTCTTGCCCTGGGCTCCCAAGGCCTCCCCCTCACCCAAGGCACCCCAAACTCCACTTCCTGCCCTTTGGGATTGCTGCAGACCTTGGCCCTGCTTCCCACCCCTCCAGACCCCACAACATCCTCCTCACTCCGAGTCACCCACTTACCTTTTGAAGGTCTCCAGAGCTCAGATTAGAGAAGCAAAGCAAGCTGCTCTGTTGCTGGGCCACATGGTGCAATCCCGGAAGTGACTACCATTTTCCAAGTGGCCGCAATTCAATGCAGCTACTTAGAAAATGGTGGCCACTTCCAGGATTGTATCACGTGGCCCCGCAATAACAACCTGCCCTCCTTCCCTAACCTGAGCTACAGAGAACTTCCAAAGGTAAGTGAGGAGGAGGGTGTGAGGCCTAATGGTGTGGGAAACAACCCAGGACCTGGAGGAATCTGGTAGAAGAAATAGGCGGGGCGCTGCAGCATCCCTGCGGTTGATTGTAGGGGTGAATAACTGTGGGGGAGCTGCAGTAACCATAACTTTAGGGCCAGGCTGAAAGTAGCTTTTTGAAAATCTGCCATAATTTCAAAGTCGCTAAGTGACCAATCATAAATCAAGGACTATCTATAGTTTCCTCACAAGCCCATGGAACTACAGTGACATTACAAAGGCAATCAGAAAGGAATATCACTAATTGATTGTCATGAAGAAACCAAAGACAATGGGCAGGATTGAAAACATTTAGAAAAAATATAGAGACATAACAAATATCTATACATTATAAACTTTCAAGATTGGTGTTTGCACTCCTGTTCCATTACCTGTGTAGGCTGTTGTGACACTAAGTAGCAAAATCTGTTTTGTAGCACACAACTTGAACGATCTTTCTACGAAGAAGGCAAAATGAAAATATTTAATTAAACTTGATCTGATGAGAATCTTCACTGGTTTGTAATTCAAAAATGGGAAACTGAACTGAATTCCAATACCCCTTTCTCCCTCAATCATAATGAGATCTTCTCTGTTAGTACCCACATAGTTTTGAACACGGAGCTTAACAAATCAGTGGCCTATACCAACTTTGTGAGCCAAAGCAGGATAAGAAATTAGTCCAGCTGCACCTAAAATAGGCAATGTTGCAAGATTCATAGCAATGTTGCTACTAACATTATGCCTCTGCTTCCCTGAGGAGGGAAATATTAGAAAGAAGCTACAAGGAATTGTAAGCATGTGTAATTGACTCTTGCTGAGCATGCCAAAATGCCCTGGGTACTTTTACTTACTTATTGCATCCTTGGCCCTTGATATTTTGCTTTGGCCAGACCTGATAAAACAAGTATTTATTTACAGTGAAAAAATAAGTAAAGCATTAAGAAAATAATTATCATATGTCAATATCAATGTTTTCCTTTACTCAGCACCATTTGTCATTAAAAAATTTAAAATATCAAAATAGGAAATATTCAGAAATAAACCACTAACCTAAATTGTATGTGCATTAAACTTTTGCCATCACTTTTCTCATGAATTCCCCCTACATCAAGGGTGTCAAACTTGCAATGTCACGTGACGTGTCGCGATCTATCACGACTATTTTGCCATTGACGGCAATGAGGTAGGCGCGGTTTTGCTATGATGCATCCGGCCTGCGGGCCAGCAGTTTGACACCCCTGCCCTACACATTAAATTAGGTCTGCCCAGTATCATGCAGCTTAAACATATATAAATGCAAGTTAATTTTCCTACATAAATTATATGTATAGTTACATGTAAATTATCTTGTAGTTTAAATCTAAGCATCCTTCCTACCCTGAATAACTGGGGCAAATGGATTGTTTTCTAGTTACAATTCCTCTCTTAAATACAAGCATCTTTTCTTATTCAAAAAGGAGCAGAAATAGTTGACTAAGAATATACTGATATAACAAAAAATCAGCCCTTAGCACCTACATGCTAGCTACAGTATTTTCAGTAGTGGTTTCCTCTTCTTCTGAATTTGTTTCTTCTGGAGTTCTAATGAGAAAAAACAAAACGGTGCCCACTAGACTGATCACTGTCAGAGAGATGAAGACAGTCCTACGATCGCTTTCTGTGAAAATGAAAAATAGTGTGTTGTACCTTGTGCAACGAACAGTGCACTCATTCAAAGTTGCCAAAATATTCAGGATATTTCTCAGATGACACAAAATACAAAGTACAGAACAAAATTTACATTCATACAAATTTCAGTAAATTTTCACGAATCAAACCAAGATTCTGTATTTGAAGATAGCTATGCCTATTAACATGTTGTTTTAATATGGCCATGCAGTTGGCCACTTAATTAGACAATTATTAGGAAATAAAGGCAGAAAAGCATTCAAACCTATCTAGTATATTCAGAGGAAGAGCTCTCCGCACAAATATGCTGATCGATAGTTTTAAATAGGCATAATAATTGTATTTAAATTCCTGTTTACAATAACATAGGGAAGAAAGTATCTTTCCAAATGCAGTGCTTTCACAAATGATTTGCCTAGTTCTCTCAACTGCAAGTATAAATGCTAACATATATACACACATACACATAGTGGGTATGGGGGTGTGTATATAGAGATATATAGAAATAGAGACAGAGACAGAGATAGAGATACCAGTTAAAAAGTTCAGTGTGACTGTATCTTCCTTCTCTGGTTGTCTGTTCTTCTTCACTGGCATAGATTCTATGCCTTGTCTTTTGGCTTCCTATAGCTCATTGGTCAGTAAGGAATGCAGGTTTTACAGTTATTCAGAATGTAAAGCTTTATTATATATATAGACTGAATTAGATTCGGTTTGCTTGGCAACATTACAGAGGTTTATGGCTACCCTCCTCCAAGGTTTTTCTCACTTCCCAGTCTAGACAACAGTCTTGGAATTCTCAGCTATTTCCACATGCAAGCATTGATCAGATGTGCCTGTTTAGCTTCTAAGATCAGCCAAGGTACTGTGGCTCTAGGATTAAGCCCTAGATCAATGGTGGCGAACCTATGGCACGGGTGCCAGAGGCGGCACTTGGAGCCCTCTCTGTGGGCACACGTGCCGTCGCCCCAGTCCTAGGCCTTCAGCTGGGTTTTATAAAACCTTTTCGCTTTAGGCCTCCGCCGCCATGTACAAAAAAAAAAGGTTCAATCAATCAGTCAATTTCAACTTCTCGTGGGGAAAAAAAGATCTTGCAAAGTTGGAATTGATTGATTGAACTTTTTAGTCCCACTCAGTCTGCTGTTACCACCGCAGCCACGCCCACCCAATGGGCCACACCCACCTAATGGGCCACACCCACCCGGCACCCGACGATGCATAAGTGGGTTTTGGGTTGCAGTTTGGGCACTCGGTCTCTAAAAGGTTCGCCATCACTGCCCTAGATGAATTGAATGGCACCTCCAAATAGATACACATTTTTTATTACAATATAGTATGTGTCATTGAGATAATAATCTGAGGGAATGAAGTTGGAGTTGCTCTCTGCTCTTTTCAAAAGTAGATGCAGTCATGCAGATAAGCCCACACAAACACACACGCATACATACTTTCCTCAAGCATCCATCCACTTCCTCAGAACAGTACTCACAGGCATTCAAGTCTATGTTCGAAATGCCTGGTTAATAGAACCACACCCTGGTGTTTTCAAGAACATGCTGACATCTAGAGGCAGCCTCGTCCCACCCAGTGTTTTGAGCTTACGAAAGCAGATACTAAGACAGAGTGGGAGAGGAGAAAAAGTGATAAGCAATCCTGGTGGGAGTCCTGCCTGGAACCTAGAGCTTTGTCTGGAGTTCAATAGCAACTAGGAAAGAAGCATCTGCACTAAAACAGCACCCCAACCTAAGTAACATGGGAACTTTTGAGAAGAGGCAAAAGTTGTATGCTATTTAAAAGACTTTGAGACTTCTGTATGAACTGAGTATTAAAAGACTGAGTATAAATGACTGAGTATTAAAGATGTATTTACATGGCAACGTCACCTTGCAAGTCTTAGAAGGGTGGAGTTGATCCAGAGCAATAACCTGCTGATGGGAAGGGATGTGTTCCAATAAAGCATTGTGTACAGTTTTGCTTCACTGAACTGTGTTTGGTCCTTGGAACACAAAGAACCATCAAAAGGCAGAAAATGAAGATTAGGGAATGAAGAAAAATAAGAAATAATACGATGCCTTTTTAAATTAAACTTTTACTAGGAAACATAAGAATTGGCATTAGTCTTCAAGGTTTCACGCATTATCCAGGGTCAATGCAGAATAGTTTTTTAAATGGAAAATGGCAAAAACACGTTCAAATAAATACTTAGCAACCTGTACATATGCTAAATATTTTAAATCATTGTGCAATGCACAGGTAATATCATAGCATGAGACAATTATTTCTCTCTCCAACCCCAGCCAAAATGTGAACAAAACAACACTGCTGTAGCTTAATTTTTTATTTTATTTATTTGTACCCCGCCTTCATTATTTTTACAAATAATTCAAGGTGGCAAATATATTCAACACACCTTCCTCCTCCTGTTTTCCCCAAAACAACAGCCCTGTGAGATGGGTTGGGCTGAGAGAGAGTGACTTGCCCAAAGTCATCCAGCTGTCTTGGTAGGTAGTTGGCTAGATCAAGGTGAAATGGAAATGGAAATAGAAGAGAAGAGTGGGAAAGCATCTGCTTGTCCACATCAGGCAAAAAAAATATTTCTACTCAAACTTTGCCTTTTCTTATCTAACTGCTGACACAATGAATTATTCTGCTTCTCTGGGTGTAGGTGATTGAGGATCAAGGAACACAACATATTTTAAAATGGGATTTGTACGCTATTCAGTGAGATATTGTAAAAACTCAAAGACTGAGGCAGTAGGCTGAATACACAGCTTCAAAGGATTATATGAACAATACCAACCTGATATGTAAGTTTTCCCTTGCCAAGCAAAATATATGTAGAGATTTCCAAAAAACAAGCTGTAAATGGGAGATAACTAATGGTTAATGCATTATTTGTTATATAAGAAAGATGAATTGTAGTTCAAAACAAGTTTGAAATCTTAATAAACCTCAAATAATCTCAAGCATTTCTCTGTAAGATGTGAAATTATATTGACATTGCAAGTAGATTCCAACATATCCAATCAATAAGAGCTCGTCTTCCTAAGATATGCGTGTGTTTTTTCCATTACATCAGCCTTCTTCAAACTAATACCCACTGATGGCTTGGATTTTAATTCTCATAATCTCTGTCAATAGGACTATTGGTCATGACAGCTAGCAACTATGAAAACTGAAGTGCAACACAGATAGATCATATAAGACAAAGAAGGCTCCATATGGCAATCATGGAAAATTCACAGCATAAATGTTAAAGTAGACAAATATCTTGGCTCAATAAGAAGCAGCCTAGGATTCCAGTGATGGAAATAACAACAATTCCAATATATGGAAGCAAGACATAACTGCAAAGTTTAAAATAACTGAAGAGGAAATTCTGCATTTGATTTGAAAATTAAAAGTAGGAATGAAAACGACTTTTCATCTGCAACCTGATTATTCCACTGCCCCTTTCACATTGTGGCATTTTTTTTCCTCTACAGATCTTGTTGCTTTAAGAAAGCCATTTGTTTCTGGGATCAGTTAAGCTACCAATTTATCCATGATCCAAGGAGGCAGAACCTAGCTGACTTTGGCTAACCTTGAAAAGGCTTAGATCTTTTAAGTATTGGGCAGAAAACTATCAGAGGGCTGCAAGCTAGACTGGGAAAATGAAAATATATCTTTAAAGAAGTATTGGGAAATACATTGGTATTATTCCTCAGAAAACTACAAAACTGAAGTCACCAGTTGATCTCACCTTAAACATTGTTTACCTACAGTATCTTTAGAATCCTATTCTGAGAATTCACAGAATTTTAAAATCAGAACTCTAGGCACTACACCAGTGGTTCTCAACCTTTTTAATGCCGCGACCCCAACCGGTCGTAAGTCGAGGACTAAACCGGTCGTAAGTCGAGGACTAAACTGGTCGTAAGTTGAGGACTAAACCGGTCGTAAGTCGAGGACTACCCAACCGGTCATAAGTCGAGGACTTTCCCTGCCCGGGAGCGCCGCGCATGCGTGGTTCCGCCCCCTGCGCCGGCCAAGGCGTAGCTGGCAAGCGGCAGAGACGGAGCAGGCCGACCACCAGCTGGCCCAGCCCAAGGGAGGTAAGGCACCCGCTGGAAAAGGGGGAAAAAATGGACAAAAAAAATGGCGGACAGCCTTGCTTGGCGACCCCCGTGAAATGGTCGATCGACCCCAAATGGGGTCCCGACCCACAGGTTGAGAACCACTGCACTACACTCTTGTGTTGCCTGTACAGTCTCCCCAAGGCCACAGTGGCAGTGGTCATTGATAATAATCCCTTTTGTTTCTATCTATACAAACTGATAAAGAATATTTTATTCTGGACAGCACATAATCTGTGATTGGTTGATCATTTTTATCTTGTTAATTGCTGGGCGGTGAGGTCTGCTGTTTCTACGATAGTGGTGCTGCTGGATACTGCCCTCCTGTCAAGGCAGTGCTGTGCTGACACAGACCTCTGCTTTTTAGTTTAGCAGCTCTTTATTTTAACTGATGTGTTGCTTTTGAATTATTTTGTCCTATCTTTTTACGTTTTCATCTTTATTAGAAGCTCCTCTAATTATATTTATTTATTTGTTTATGTAAATTTGCTTACTATCCGTCTTGCCTATTTTGCTTAATAAAAAAGCAAAGAATCAATTATAAATGTCCTTTCAGGGAGCACCAGGTATCATACACGTTTCCCAACTCCAACCCAAGAACATCCTCATTAGAATCATATAATAAAAGAGATAGAGAATAAGGGACTAGTCCCATGCTTGACCAATGTCCATTGGCTAAAGTAGAAGCTGAATTTCAATTTCCCTGATCTAGGTCAGTGGTGGCGAACCTATGGCACGGGTGCCAGAGGCGGCACTCAGAGCCCTCTCTGTGGGCACACGCACCATCGCCCCAGTCCTAGGCCTTCAGCTGGGTTTTATAAAACCTTTTCGCTTTAGGCCTCTGCCGCCATGTACAAAAAAAAAAAAGGTTCAATCAATCAGTCAATTTCAACTTCTCACGGGAAAAAAAAGATCTCGCAAAGTTGGAATTGATTGATTGAACTTTTTAGTCCCACCCAGTCTGCTGTTACCACCCAATGGGCCATGCCCACCCAATGGGCCATGCCCACCCAATGGGCCACACCCACCCGGCATCCGACAATGCATAGGTTTTGGGTTGCAGTTTGGGCACTCGGTCTCTAAAAGGTTCGCCATCACTGATCTAGGTCAAAGCAATCTAAGCAATCCAGACACAAAATACATTCTAAATTGCACATGCTATTCATACTCCCTAACTTGCTTTACAATAAAATCATGGAAAATTCTGAATGCCCTCAAATATTTTCCTATGATACAGATGAGACAGTGACTCAATACAGATTTAGAACAAACTCTTGTTCCCATTTAGGATTCTTTAAATGATAATTGACATAGAAAGCAGAACTTGAAGGGAATTGTGATTCCAAAAAGCACATTTTTTTGTGTAAGCACCAAAACTGACAGTTCAGTTTGAGAGTTGTGCTTCCACAGTTTTGCTTTAAATATCCAGAGAACAGCCTAATCACACATTTGTTTCCCAAAAGGGTTTTTTATATTAGCATCATTTGTGTAATTTCTGGTATTGGTAAAATCAAGTATTTCTTCTTCCCTTAGCTCCCAATTAACTCAAAACTGGTTTAGTGAATTCCCAATCCTCCAGAATAAATTAGGGATCAATTGGGAGATGCAAAAGGGAGAAGATTCCATTGCAGTTTTATTTCATTTCACAGCACAGGATCTAACCAAAAGCAATAGTTTAATTATTTACCTGGATTGCAATAATGCCCAGAAAATTCCACTGTTTCTGCCAATTGTGTTTTCATTTGAATTTATTGTTAGGCAATTTCCTTGAGCAGTCCACAGTACTGAAAATGTAATAAGAATTATTGTAAACAAGAAAAGAAATCTTCTAAAGTTTGTTTATATTGGTATCTGAAAACGTTTCAATAACATATTTGTATTTTTGGATGCATTTCACAAATGTTTACAGCTAATATTATTTAAATATTCAAATAAAACAGATGATATGGATATAACAAAAATATATTAAGTATATATTAAGTATTAGGTTCCTGCCAACCTAGCAGTTTGAAAGCATTCAATGTGAGTATATAAAAATAGGTACCCCTTCAGTGGGAAGATAACAGTGCTCCGTGACATCTTGCTGGCCACATGACCACAGAAATGTCTTCAGACAGTGCTGGCTCAATGGTCTTGAAATGGAGATGAGCACTGCCCCCTACAGTCGATAACAATTAGTGGAGTAAAATCCGCAGGGGCTCCTTTACCTTAATCTTTTATGTAATGTTTCTAATGGTTAAGAACAGTTTTACTACCTTGTTAATACTGGGGAATGGGACACATTGCTTGCATTCCCCTCAATGGAAAATGAGAAAGTGTGGGAAAGCAAATTGAAAAAAGGTCCATATTACTCAGAATCAGCCTAGGCACTCAGTCCCTCACCCAAATCTCATGATTCCACCAAAAGCCTAATTCCAAATGAAAAAGAGAAAAGGCAAAATAAATTCCTTCATAAAATGGAGAACATCTCTCAGGTTGAGAGAAAGAGCTTACCAGCAGCTGCTATTCCAAGGAAAACTGAGGCTGTGTAGAAACTCCAAGTAATAGGCTGGATAAAAATGGCAATATATAAGCTGAAAAGAAAATTTTAATATGCATGATGCCATGCTCATAGTTCTTTGTAAAATAATTTCTATCACTAGTTGGGAGTAACCTGTACTTGATAATTTTCAGATGTTCTTATTTCTCCCAATTAATTCTAAATCCTATCTTTACCCACTTACCAGATATTTAACAGACTAATAGAGTGAGAAGGAATCTCGAAGATCATCTAGTCCAACCCCCTGCTCAAGCAGGAGACCCCATATCATTTCAGACAAGTGGCTATCCAGTCTCTTCTTAAAAGCCTCCAGTAATGGAGCACCCATAATTTCTGAAGGCAAGCCATTCTACTGGTTAATTGTTCTCACTGTTAGGAAGTTATTTCCTAGTTCTAGGTTGCTTCTCTCCTTTATTAGTTTCCATCCATTGTTTCTTGTTTTATCTTCTGGTGCTTTGAAAAATAGGCCGACCCTCCTTTTCTTTGTGGCAGCCCCTCAAATATTGGAACACTGCTATCATGTCACTTCTAGTCCTTCTTTTCACTAGACTAGCTGTACCCAATTCCTGCAACCATTCTTTTTATGTTTTAGCCTCCAGGCCCCTAATCAACCTTGTTGCTCTAATCAACTGGATGCAGTATTCTAAGTGTGGTCCTACTAAGGCTTTATAAAGCAGTACTAGTACTTCACATGATCTTGATTCTATCCTATTAATGCACCCTAGGATAGCTTTGGCATTTTTGTCTGTTGCCACACACTGCTGGTTCATATTTAAGTGATTGTCCACTAGGACTCCAAGATCCCTTTCACACTTACTGCTATTGAGCCAGGTTTCACCTAAACTGTACCTGTACATTTGGTTTTTCCTACCTAAGTGTAAGATCTTACATTTCTCTACATTGAATTTCATTTTGTTGCATATGGCCCAGTGTCAAGTCTGTTAAGATCCATCTGGATCTTGAGTCTATCAACCGAAGTGCTGGCTATTCTTCCAGCTTAGTGTCATCTGCAAATTTGATGAGTTCCCTTCCTATTCCCTCATCTAAATCATTTATGAAGATATTGAAAAGTACTGGGCCTAAAACGGAACCTTGGGGTACCCCATTGCTTCCTTCCTCCCTGTAGATGTAGTTCCATTGGGGACTACATGTTGAGTGTGATTTGGCAGCATACATCTAGTGCTGATGCTGTTTATCCCACATTTTTCTAGCTTACTGAAACAGTCATAAGTGTGAAAAATGGTCATAAGTCACTTTTTTCAGTGCCGTTGTAACTTCGAATAACCACTAAATGAACTGTTGTAAGTCGAGGACTACCTGTATGAGCCAGCAATGTGCTGCGGCTGCCAAAAAAAGCCAATGCAGTCCTAGGTTGCATCAACAAAGGGATAGCATCAAAATCATGAGAAGTGATAGTACCACTCTATAATGCACTAGTGAGGCCATGCTTGGCATACTATGCCCAATTCTGATCACCAAGATACCAAAAAAAAAAGATGCTGAGGCCCTAGAAAGAATGCAGAGAAGAAAAATCAAAATAATAAGGGATCCACAAGGATAAATCTTACAAGGAACAGTTAATGGAACTAGGTATGTCTAGCCCAGGGGTGTCAAAGTTGCAATGTCACATGACGTATCGCAACTTTTTTTCCATTGCCGGCAATGGGGTGGGCGTGGTTTCGCCATGATGCATCCGGCCCGCAGGCCGGCAGTTTGACACCCCTGGTCTAGCCTAACAAAGAGAAGAATTAGGGCTGACATAATAAGTTCTCTTCTGGTACATGAGGGGCAGCCACAGAGAGGAGGGATTTGACTTATTTTCCAAAGCTCCTAAGGGTAAGACAAGAAGTAATGGGTGGAAGCTTGTTAAAGAGAGATCCAGCCTGCAACTAAGAGAAGTTTTCTCACAGTGAGAACAATTAATCAATGGAACTGCTGTGAGTGCTCCATCGCTAGAAGCTTTCAAGAAAAGATTGGACAAACATTGGTATGGGATGATATCAGGCAGGCATGTCAAACTCACGACGTCACGTGACGTCACACGACATATCGCGACTTTTTCCCCATTGCCGGCAATGGGGTGGGCGCAGTTTCGGTGTGACGCATCCGGCCCTTGGGCCGGCAGTTTGACATGCCTGATATAAGGTCTCCTGCCATGGGAAGAGAGTTGGACTAGAACTGCTCTAAGGTCCCTTCCATCCCTATGATTCTATTCTATTCTAACACTAGCTACTAGAACAGTAGTAGTTATATCATACATTTCCCATCAGCCAATTATATACAAAACAAGAGCAGGCCTTCTAGGTACAGCTAAGTAAAAGGAAATCAGCATAAATTATATACTAGGAACTGAAGCAATTTTACTTACCTATAGAAGATACCACTAATGAACATGGAAAGTTGTGGTCCTATGACTGCAACCACCGAAGGTGAAATTATATTTGATGCTGAAAACACTCCATAAATAACAGCCATACTGTACAAAGGAGTAACAATGATTAGTAAATCATGTCCTTGAAAACTGAGAGAACAATAAGGAGCAACTTTTTTGTTTCTTGAAAAAATTGTGTAAAGTTTTACAAGGTAAATCTGTCAACCACAATGATTTTTCAAGCACCATGGTACTACCACATTGCTACACTAATTCACATAGGTGCTGTATCTAAAATTATTTTACATGGAGATGTAGGCTACCTTCTTTTACATCTCTCACCACCCTCCACTTCCCATACACAAATTTTATTCATGGGAGTTATTTGTACAGTATGTTTATTTTAGATTATCTTCTTCTGAAGATGAGATTTCAGAGACAAATTACAATTCTACCGGTTTTTAGGTTTAATAAAAACAATAAAGGGGAAAAAATGGTTACGTACAGCATGTAATAATAGGGTGAGGTCACAAATGATAGTAACTGTTTTCATCTATAATAAAATTAACTGTAATTCCCCCAGGTCTCCAAATGGAAGTTCTTTTAAACTAGGTTTAATGAAAACAAACCAAAATCAGTACATTGTTCATTAGCCTGTCTTATTCAAACCATAGTTTGAACTTCACTGGGATCTTTAATTTACAACTGAAAGCCAGAATTTTTGAACACTGGCATACAAAAGAGGAAAATGAGGAAGAATTGATACGCCTATCATGCCTCATTCTCATAGGATGAATTCATCCTGTTCCATTATGCCTGAACCTAGTCACAAAATGTAGCTCAAAAGCAACAAGTTAAGATTTTCAATAAATGATAAAGTGTTGCTGCTGCCCTGAGTGGGTGAGGTATGGGGTTTTTGTGTTCTGGATTTTTAATGTTGTAAGCTGCCCAGAGTTACCGATACTGAATTAGGCTGGCAAATAAATCTATTTAATAAATGAATAATAAAAAGACAAGAGTAAAGTACCTTGTGTAGCCACTCCCATGAAAATCAGTATGGTTTAAATTTGTAATAATCGTTTGCTGTAATACATTAAAATACATTAAAATGATTAACAATATGAACTATTATCCAGATTGTTTTTAAAAATGTATTTAAGTTTTAAAATACAAAACAGACCCACAAGTCACTATAAATACAAATATTAAATATGCCTATATACAATTACTTAGACAAAGTATTTGCAAATAATATCCTAAGTAAATCAAGTTTTTTTAAATTAAATTTGCATTCAACGTTACATTAGGAAGTAAACAAAAGTCAAAATCTAACTATAGTTTTAATATTGATTTTCCTTCTGTTAAGGACAAAACATCATGTTGCTTGATAAAGAAGCGTGCCCAAATCTGCATTTGCCTACAGAAGATAAAATGAGGAGCATCTGTAGCAGCAATCATGATGTGGCAAGTAATAAATCCTTAGTTTTTGGTACAGCACTGTAGTACCCTTAAACCATCATGTAAGTTGATCCCATGCTTAGAGGCCTGACAAAAATCACTGTTTGTTTCCATACTCCCCTCCCCCAAAAATGTTTTTACCTAAAATATTTTTATACAATGGTAAAACTAGACTACGCCTTTATCATTCCATCATTTGACTCAAAAAGAAGGTAACTCCAACTTCTAGATAATGTTCTGATTTATTGGCTAGACCCAGGATATCAAAGACGGTACATTTAGCTTGACTGTGCAAAGCCAAGGCTGGCCTTATCCTCCATATTGCTCAAGACAAAAAGGAAAAGAAGAAGGAAGAACAGAGGTTGCCTAAATACATCTAAGCAGGAGGTATTCTCTTTCCAATTACCTTTGCTCATTGTTCCCCTTTTCCCAGTAAAGTTTTATATCTAGAGATATGGGTTCCTTGTTTTAATAAGATACTTTCTCATTAAAAGTTTCCCTACATGGAAGACTGTACAATTAATTTCCATGTTTCAGGATTGGCATAAGATCTGAATCTCTGGAATAAAAGCTGGACGATCGTAAGCACCTTTTTTATTTTTCTAGAGCTAGACTGAAGACCTTGGCAGAATGGGTGTGTCAGAGTGTTTAACATGGCTGGTGGCAGCTGATCATGACATGTTTTAGAAGTAACCCAAGAAAGAAGGACCTTCCAGGCAGTCTGAATTATCATTTCTCCCAGCACAAGGAAAAGAGGACCCCATTTTTAAAATTACGCTTTTCAAGCAATCAGGAAATTCCATAAATTATAATAACAGGTAAAGGAAATGGCAAAAAAAGGGCTGCAAACATTGAGAGAAACAATATTACATTCTTAAATATCTATATTTGTTTCATCAAGAAGCCAGTCAACGCACATAAGGAAAAAAGCATTTGCTCTTACCGCTATATTTCCACATGTTTGGAAAGCAGTGAACATAAACATGAATGCTATTCCTAAAACAATGATGTTCAACTGTTTTTTTAATTCAGAATTCATCTTGTGTTTTATCAGAATGTTGTTAGACTAAACGTAGGTTAACATCTGTCTCTCAAGCTTCTTCCTTTTTTTAAGTTTCTGAGAAAGGAACAAAAAACAGTAACTCTGCATTACTGAATTAACAACTGTTTTCTGAAAAAAACAAAGTATGAAGAAAATGCCAGCCAACAGGAATGAAAAAAAATCAAGAGTCTCTACCTTTCAAATGCAGAACAGCAGCAGATGGAAAGAAGCAAAGAAGGCACATTCTGACCCAGATCTTCACTTATCTACCGTGTCATAGAATCAGATTTTGACTTGGCCATCAATTATCTGATGAAAGGAACAGCTACGGAGATTATTTCCATTCATGCCAGACAGGAAATAAAGAACAGTTTACAAATCAAGTCAGCTGATCAAATGAGGGGAAAAAAAAAGCCCTCGTGAATTCTGGGAAATGCAGTTCAAAGAGCTATTCATTAAGGAAAAGAAAGCATGTCTAAACAATACTACAGAATAAAAATTCAGTGATATATGTAAGCCTGAACAAAATACCTTTTAGATAATCATGACTGCACATTTTGTTTTTCTCATTTGCCAGGAAATTTTGAGAAAAGTTAATTCTGAATAATCTGGTATATGATAAAGGAAAAACCTTGAATTAATTTGAATTGTCTGAAAGGAGTACATCACAAATTAATACTTTTTAAAATTAATTCAATGGACTCTATAACCCTCATTGTTATTTATGATGGCACTTGCAACCTGTATCAATGAGAACAAATTGTTTTATTATAAATAATAAAAAGTATATAATAATGTGACCTCCCAATCAAAATGTTACTATCATAGTCATTAAAATAATGCAGTTCAAGAAAAAAGGTTACATCCTAGATAAATATATAAGTGTAGTATATAAGACAAATCTCATGAGAACTAAATCCAATTATATTAATGTATCTCAAATGTTCACATCTAAATGCTAGATTCAATACTGAATGTGCATCTGGAGAAGGGGGGGGCGATGCAACACAGAGCTGGAGGGGGGGAGAGGTTCAGGATATCCACATCCTAGAATCTCTCATGATATATCTAATAGGCTAAAAGTTATAGCTTTAAATGGTAAGATTCTGTTCACTAGGTATAAGCAAATAAAGTATTGGGACTGTATTGTATCTGTCTTTGGGCTAGGGTCTGACACTTAGTAACTATTCTAAGTTAGACAAATCCCCCCCCCCCCGCAAAAAAAAAACCCTACTTACAATCTAATTCCAGAATTCTGATGGCTGCACATGCACATATTCGTTGTCACAAGTGCATTTGGGTGCTTGGCAACCTCTGAGGGAGATGGGAGATTAAGAAATAGGAAATATAAATAAATAAACCAGCTCACATTTACAGTCAGTTGTAGGATTCTATAGTCTTGTGACCACAATTTATAACTTTTTTTTTGCGGTTTTCAGCTTTATTAGTCAGTTTCTGCCCAAAAAATGCATAGGAATACATGGATTCACTTAACAACCGCTGAATTCATTTAAGAACTGCAATGCTCACTAATGACTGCCATAAAGTCATAAAATCAGGGCTGGTTTGATTTAAAACTGTCATGACTTACTATGGAAAATCTGGGTTCTGTTGTGATCATAGATCAAGGACTACCTGTAGTTAGTTAACACTAACAATGTAAGTAAGAAAAGATCTACACACTTATACAGTATTTTAAGGTTGGCATTCAAAATTTATTAGTCAGTGTTGTAGATTAAAATCAAAATAAGGGCAGCTTTCCCAGTATTATGAGTTTAGAATTCTGAAATATGTATTAGTTATACTGAATATAGTATGAGGATACTATGAGCATTGAGTCCCATGCCCCAAAGTTGTTAAATACGAAGATTCCACTTCTTCTTTATGCTGATGATGCGGTCCTTCTTTCACAATCAAGGCTCGGTCTAAAAAGATTACTTTCTGCATTTGGGTCCTACTGTGCTGAGAACCATTTGTCTATTAATTATGACAAATCCAAAGTATTGGTGTTCTCCAGAGCCCGGAAATCATACAACTGCTATCAATGGTAATGTTATTAGGCAGGTTTTCCATTTTAAGTATTTAGGTATTCAATTTCAGAATACTGGTGCTTGGACTAAACATCGTACCCAGGTGCTGAATTCGGCCTCCTGTAGCCATCAGCAGATTATAAGATTCTTTTTTACCCAAGGAGGCCAGTTTATTCCTTCTGCTCTGCATATATATAAAGCCAAAACCCTGGCCCAAACTCTTTATGGAATTCCTATATGGATACAAGGCTTCAAGGATTGTATTGAAAGAAACCAGGGTGTTTTTCTTAGGAAACTTCTGGGTCTTCCTCCCTGTGTTGGATTTGCTTCGATCTACCTGGAACTGGGCATTCGTTCAGTCGAATGCATGGCATGGATTAATAACACCTTCAAATGGTGGTTTCGGGTGCTCTTTTCGGCAGTCCCTGGTAGCTACCTCTCCCTGGTGTTTGCTGACTCTCATACCTCTCGTTGGGAGAGGGAGCTGACGAAGAAACTCCACTTGCTAGGTTTTACGGGGGATGCTCTGGGAGATTATGGTCTCAAGGACGCCCAGTTTAGGGTAGTCCAACAGCTTGTGGACATAGATTTGCAATATTTAAGAGCCAGAGCCAACAAAACTTGCTCCCCTTTGATCTTCAGCCATTCTAATAATTATGGATTGAGGATGGCTTCATATTTCTACACTCTAACCATCCCCAAGTATAGAAGAGTCTTTTCCCTGGCCCGTTTCAATGTCTTGCCCTCAGCACTACTCGATGGGCGATTTAAGAGGCTCCCGTTTAGTGAGCGACTATGCCCCTGTGATAGGGCCGAAGTTGAAACTGTGGAGCATGTCTTATCATACTGCCCTATGTATAACACAGGCAGAATTAAATTATTGTCTCTCCTTGAAATTGATCCCTCTGGTTCTAATGTTAGTAATTTGGTTTTATATTGTCTAGGGGATGGCTCCTCCTATATTACTTATCAGGTTTCTAAATTTCTTTTAAGAGCTGTAACTATTAGAGGAGAACGTTGTAATTCCCTTTAGCCAAGGCTTCTGGTGCTTGTTTGTGATTATATTTTTCTTGTGTTTTCTTTTGTTGCTCTTGCATTTTGGTCTGTGATCGCAAAATAAAATATTATTATTATTATAGTATGAGGTATTTTCAAGAAAACAAACACAGACTTTTGGCTTCTCATTTATTTTCTACATTATGGACTATAATTTTTTCATGTTTAGTTGCTTGGATAATGTGCACTATTGCTATACTCTTCCACTGAATAAAAAATTACTTTATTATCAACTTTTCAACTAAACATTGGTTTAAATAAACTAAAAGTATATCTCCCGCAAAAAATATGGTGACAATAGAGCAAATCATGTTCAATAAGAATATACTTTGATTCAGATTTACAGACAGCATGTTATCTATGCATCAACCTGGAAAGTATTCTTTTAAATCATGTCCCTCACTTTTTTTGTATTTCTCCTATTCTAGTTCATAATTATTCCATAAATTTAATATTTCTGTTTTATTAATTCATCAAATAAACATTTCCCAGTATTCACTCAGAAAAATTCATTAAATAAATACTTTCAAATATTTTATTTTGCTCTGACTTAAAAAATGATTTAATTCGCTAAATATCTGCAAAAATATTTTAACATTAGTTTACTTCTAATCACCACATGAGTTTAGTGTTAGTAGTAAACATCTAACCTCTATCTTGTGGCTAAAGGAATAATTGATTTACCGGTATATACCAATAGGAAAAAAGAGAGACAATTGCTAAACAAATGCTCAAACTAGCAAATAACTGCACATCTCACATATAGGAAAGCCAGTGATCAATATTTAACAATCCAGAGTTCAAAATTTGGAGTTGTTAGATGTGCAAGTTAAATTCAAAAGAGGCAGACAACAGATATCATGTTAACATCCCATGGATAATGAAAAGGACATTTATTTTTGGTTTAATTATACAAAAGCTTTTGACTGTTGGCATTTCTTTTTTAAAAAAGCTGAAAAATAGGAAAGTACAGTTAGAATAGAAGCCATTTAATGGTTCAAAATTGGGAGAGAAGTGCAACAAGGCCCTAAAATATATGAAATACTGGACTAAAAGAAAGATAAACTGGAAATAAAATTGCTGAAACATCAACCAATCTCACACATTTTGATGGCTACAAACAATATATAAGAAAATGAAGGCAAAAAGACAGTGTGCAAAAGTCAATCTCCCATTAATTTTTTTTAGGGGTCCTTGTTGCTGTCTGAGCTTGTTTTCTTGCAGATATTTCATTACCCAAACTAGGTAATATAGGTAATGTAGGTAACATCATCAATGCTAGTAAGGAGTGCAGTTTGCTGTCAATTTACATTCTAGTGGCTTGCCCTTGTCAGCATTGGTGAGGGTGGTCTTAAGAGATTTTTTGTTGAGCTGTTTATTGTTGGCTTTTTTGGCAGTTTCTTGATTGGGGTATTTACTTTATTGTTGGTCTGATGTTAATCTTGGAGTTAATCTATGCTGATAATGGGTGGTGGTGGAGAGATGCTTGGGTCTTTTTGTTCCCCTTTTGGCTGATTGCTTATCTCTTTTGCATAGTCTATAGATGTTGTTAACATCTATGGGTCTATTGATCCCTAATTAGTCAAGAGCGCTGGGCTTCTAAAAATTCACTCGCATTTTTGGACTTAGCTTGGTCTAGAATGGTCACATTTTCTCAATTGAAACTATGGTTAAGTCTGTCATTATGTGAAATTAAGTTTTCATCATGTCTTCTGGCTGCCAGTTGGTGGTCATGGATGCATTCTGCCAGTCTTCTGCCTGTTTGTCCTACATAGCAGTTGTTGCAGTCATTACATTGTATGTAATTGTATGTTGTAATGACTCATTTTTTCTTCTGGGGTTGCTGGGTCTTTTGGTTTACTTAGGATGGTTTGAAGGGCTATAGTTGGCTTGTGTATAATGCTGATTCCATGTGGTTGTAGTAGGACCATTGGTTTCAAAGAGGCAATTTATGTTGCTATGCCCCACAGCAAAGGACTGGAGATTAAGAGTAGAAACTGTCTTCCAGGCTATGCAAACAAATCAAGGTGACCAGAAATATTTCATACATCAAGCCTGTTGAATAAAAAGCTCACAAATTTCTTGTTAGAGAAAGTCAGCCCATAGTAACTAACACCAGCAAGTCTTTGGCTGCAGGGGGGGGGGGGGCAATCCAAACCAGGTATTAGATACGGACACCGCTAGGAAATCCCAAAACAATAGGTTTGGGGGGGACCCACCTAGAAGGGTAAACTGTTTTATATGACACCTAGAAAACAAGAGACAAGCTTGCTATCTTTTTATACCTCAAAAAAACAACAACCATTACCCAGTACTTATCCTTGGAATAAAGGTGCAAAATACTGCACAGCACAATGTCCTCACCCCCCCACACACACACTTTAAATAAATTTCCCTGACCCATAGAGTGTGGCTATTAGGCCTGATAATGGGCTTTGAAAATCTTAGCATGGTACAGCCCCAAACTGCAAAAGAATCCATTAGCCACCCCAAGTAGACAGCGTCCCCCTTCCCCTCCCCCCGCTCGCCCGCCCCGGTTCGGCTCCCCTTCAGCACGAAGGCACAGCAAAGAAAGCAGCCTTGACCCGTCCCTCAGCCACCCCTCCCCCGCGCCTCGCGCTTCTATCTTCCCTCGCTTCGTTTCGCGCGCCCCTGTGGCACGTTACGTGCGCACTCCCGCGTATTATTAGTCAGCTTCCTCTCAGTCTTGGCCGCCATTTTAAAGACTGAGTTTCTTGTCTTTTAACAAGCACATACGACGCCAAACGCTTAACGGTGTGTAAAAATGGACACGCCGACTAAATTATAACGAGTAAAGGCGGTTATACCTTTTACAGAATTGTAATTTTGGAATGGAAATTAACGCTCTGTAGCCTTCCGCGTGAGAAGCGTAAACAATCGCTTCCGGGTTTCCGCATTAAAAGGCAGATGAGCTTTTGCAGCAGATAAGGAACCTATCTTTCCCTTTGTTTTTTTAGTTAGATGCTCGCTGCCCTTGTCAGTGCCTTTTAAGATCGTCTTTTCCCTTTGGAGCAACAAAAATCGAACTTAAATTTGAATGGCTTACGGTACAACGTGGTGGGGGGAGGTAGAATCGAGAACTGTTTCCGGGGCATTGACGGCCATTTTGTGGTGCTTAAATACTTGAGGAAGGGCGGCACCTCGTTCACTTGCTCGTGGCAGCGGTCGGAGATGGTCGCTTGTGAGTGAGCTCTCGTCTGCGCGCCTCGCTGTTAACTCGACGGCCAGGCTGTACTAACGCGAGCCTAACGCAGCAGCCATCTCAATATCCGTAGAGCCAGCTCGTGCGCTCCGGTTCTTTCCGTCTTTTTCAGCCCTACGCCATGAGTTACGGGCGGCCGCCGCCAGACGTAGAAGGCATGACCTCCCTGAAGGTGGACAACCTGACATATCGTACTTCTCCAGACACACTTCGCCGCGTCTTCGAGAAGTACGGCCGCGTGGGGGATGTCTATATTCCCCGCGATCGCTACACCAAGGAGAGTCGTGGATTCGCGTTCGTGCGTTTCCACGACAAGCGCGACGCGGAGGACGCTATGGACGCCATGGATGGGGCCGTGCTTGATGGGCGCGAATTGCGGGTCCAGATGGCCCGCTATGGCCGACCTCCGGATTCGCACCATAGCCGACGAGGGCCCCCTCCGCGCCGATACGGAAGCGGCGGTTATGGACGTCGCAGCAGAAGGTGAGACAGGGCCTGTCGGGCAAAAGAAAGGTCGATTCCTCCTAGTTAAGGTTTTAAACTGGGATGTGATATAAAGGAGGCAGAAAAAAGGCCCGGGCTAATGGGTTAAGCGTACTGGTTGGGGGGAAGGTCGGCGGGAAAGTGAGAATCACGTGATACTGAATGGGCGGCGGGCGGCCTCTTCAGCCGTTGGCTCTGAGCGAACTCCCGAAAGATAGAGTGCTCGACTTCCTGGACGTTTTCCAACCGCCCGTCTCTTTCTTCCACCCAGCCCCAGAAGGCGGCGCCGCAGCCGATCCCGAAGCAGGAGCCGATCCAGATCTCGTAGCAGATCGCGCTACAGCCGTTCCAAATCGAGGTCCCGCACGCGATCCCGCTCTCGTTCTACTTCGAAGTCCAGATCGGCCAGGAGGTCGAAGTCCAAGTCTTCGTCTGTGTCCAGATCTCGTTCCCGATCAAGATCCAGGTCCAAATCCAGAAGCCCTCCACCTGTCTCTAAGAGGGAATCGAAATCAAGATCTCAGTCTAAGAGCCCTCCTAAATCTCCTGAAGAAGAAGGTGCTGTGTCATCTTAAAAAAAAGGTAAAGTATCAGGTATTCTCCTGAACTTGCATGCTTTATTTTAGGAAATTAGTAGGCACTGGGATCTTAAGTAAGAAAATGGGGCATGTTCATTTCTGAAAAGGGTGTTTTAATTTACAGCTAATAAACATCTTCATGTTTTGTTGCAATTAATAGCTTGCTTTTTAATATCTATTGTTTGAGACGCAACCTATTTCTGAATTGACTATTTTCTTACTGTTCTTATCCAACATCTGCATTTTCCCCTTTAAAGCTGCGGTCTCCTGTTTGCTTAAAGAATATTGGCCAGTATTGCAGATTTTAACTGATTTGGCTGATCCTCCAGGGACCAGTTTCTGTGGGCGTGTATTGGAGCAGGTTTGTCTTTAAATGTTAAAGATACACTATCCTGTTAAGAATCTGTTCGATGGATACTGTTCTCAAGAGCAACAAACACTTAGAAATGAAATGCAAAAGTTGGCGGAAACCAGTGTCCTTGGTGCAATTGTGGGCTTATAATATGCTGGGTGGGAAAATGGATAGTGTGTCTTTAACCTCCCTCAAATTGTTTGGTCCTGTTTTTTCAGATGAAGGGGGCCTAGAACTGTTAAGGATAATGACCAATAACACATCAAGATTTTAAATAAGGATAAATGCATAATAGGATTCAGGTTGGATTTGGATTAGGGGTGGTTGTTAAAGAACATGTGATGTGGTTAGTGCATAGATTGGACCAATTTTCCAAAACTCTATGGCTACATTGGTATCAATGCAGTAGTGGGAGGGAGATATTGTACTTGCTTGCAAACATGTTAAAACACCAATACAAGTAGGTACTTAAAAGTATCCATAAACTATAGAATGCATACAAGGAATACCCTAAACATTTATCATTTTCAAATTTAGATACTGCAAATGGATGAGAAATCTACATAAAGGATGCCTTTGGAGGAGAAACGATCATCTGAATTTCCAGTCCTATGGAGAGACTCCTGCACAAGCAACAGGCTGTTGAAAAGGTTATTTTGTAACACTTTGTCTAACTTTTTACTTTGTTTTTGAGCCTCAAATGGCAGACTTTTACTTTTATGTGCCATTTTGTTGCTATTATTCAAATTTCTTGTAATTTAGTGATGTGAACGACTACAGATTTCATTATTGGCTTGGATATTTGAGGTAAAAACTTCATTTTTGTTCATATAGTGCTGACTTGTTTGCAAATTAAACTGTTAATTAACTTGCAGCCTCAAGTTTAATATTAAATACGCAGCTGTAGTATGCTGAAAAGCTTTATGCTGTCCAAATGTTCAATTCTTGCCTTTGTTCTCCCAATTCTGAATTTTTAAAATTCAAGCACATATGCAAATACTTCAAGTCAAACATTAAACTTTGCAGCTGACAAATTAATTTGAAGATTTTGTTTTTATCAGACAAAATTCTAATCTCTTCTCTTATGTATTTTTGTGCACTAGGCGCAGTTGTGTAGCAGTTGAGTAATGCTGGTTAGCTGTTAAGGTGGCGTGTTGCAGTGCAGAGTGCTTGGCTGTTTCCTGTTTTCTCCTGATTGCTCCTGTAAAGATGCCTTGTCGTGCAGAAACAAATGGCTGTCCAGTTAATTGTAATTGCCTGACAACTGCACTTCCAGTCACCCGGGCCTTGCATTAAAATAATGGAGCATACAGTGAGCACATCTAGCTGGTGATATACACACCTTATTTTTCCAGAATGGTAAATTAGACCATCTACATATGTGAACTTGCATATGAAAATGTAATGTTAAAGCATTTGATTCATTCCTTTTAAGTACTGATTTGGAGTATCTCTTAAAACATTCTGTATAATAACCTCTGTGTCTGTAGTTTAATAAAAGCAACACTTTTTTGGTGTTCAGGTTTTTTTTTTTAAAACTGATGGTTTGAGTCAGTTTTGTCTGTTAGACTAGGACAGATCATATTAATTTGCAATTTAAATAACATCCAGCAAATTCATTCCTATAAGACCTATTTAACGGGACTTACTCCTATATAACAAAGATTGTTTTTAAAACATTGTAGGCTCAAGTCACATTTTTGGTATTCCTGTGAAATGTGTATATATCCTTAATTCAAAGGAAACATGCAGCAGAATTAGTGTTGGCATGAACAATTAATAAAATTACTTTTAAAAAAATGCTGAGAAACTGATTTGTATCCAGTGGTGGTCAGGCGATATGGAGCTATCAAACAAGCAGTTGATACATTTTCATTAAAAATCCATTAGGAATGTTTCTAAGGTTTCAGTCCTTTATTATTTATTTATTTTTTTTTACTGATAACCATCATTTGAATAGTGTGCATCCCTGGAAGAGAAGATCCTGCAAGTTGTTCCTTGTTGGCTTCAAATGACTGCAATGGCACATATGTGCTTTCCATCTCCCATTTATATAGTAATCCTTCAATAGACCAGTTCGCACTGGGGGGAAAAGCAAATAATTTTAAAAGCTTTGGGACAAAGTTGGATTTTCAATAGCATTTAGAAACTGAAAATTCTTAAAAATTAATAGTGAGCAACTGAAGATTTCGAATGAGCTAATTCTAGTGCCAAAGTACATAAATATGTGAAATCAGTGAGAATGAGAGTAACTATACCTTCTGACTTGGTAAGTAGTCCAAAATTGGGCATGAGGGTTCCTTTCCATTAAATAGTGCACTGTACTTATAACATCTTCAAAGTCTAAAAAAAAGTTTTAACATTTTGGTATAATTTGAAATAAACTATATATTGCTCTTACATTTCTTCAGTCCTGTGATTTTTGGCCTTTAACAGTATTTTTAATTGTTGTCAAATTTCCAGTTAGTCTTCCTTATCAACATGCAAAAGGGATTTTCAAATGCAGGTCTGTTCACAAATTTGGAACAAGTTTTCCTAAATTACAAAACATTTACAGTTTATCTGTAAAATAACAGGGACCTGAAAATATCACCATAAAGAAGCACTTTTTAAAAATCTACCTGGTAACTATTGCTCATCAGAATAAGGGACCATCTTAACTCCACCATAGAGACGATAAAATTCTATTTTCCACCATCTTTCTATGGCTTTAGAAACTAGCTTGGTGTCATGGTAAAAATGCTGAATTCAAGTATTTGAAATAATTCCGATCCATCTTCTGCTTGCTGGGGTATTGAAGCCAAATGTGGAATAAGTAGAGGAAAGAGTACTATGTGCACACTATATAATTAAGCAAGCAGAGTTGGCTTCATAAAATTTAAACTGCAAGTTATCCCATTTTCCAAATTTTACTAGTAACAACATAATTTATGCTGTAAATCCTTGAATAATAATTGAAGTTATAAATTGCTTAGCACAAAGATTTCTAATAAAGTAACATCCTTTTAGAATTGCATACCTCTAAAATCTAGCAATTTGTTTCCCCATTAGTTTAATAGTTGGTATAAGTAGGACCTACAAAGTCTTTTAATTGCCATTATTCACAAACTTAGAATAGTTCCAACAATGAATATTAAGAGAGACCACTTGCCTTCTGGTTCAAAAAACACATCGGATCCCAAAATAAGGTCAACTGGGGCTAAGGTCAATAGACTGGGTGATACATGACCCCAGGTAAGTCCTATGACACACATCCCAGAGAGGTTATTCATCTGGTAGCTTCTTTGGCAGTTGTCCAAACACTGAGAGAACTCTGCATTATCTGATAATATTACTTGTGCTCCACATTTTGCTGCCACTATTCCAGGTAGGCTCACACCTGCTCCAATCTGAACAGAATAAAACCTAATTTGTGACAACTATAATACAAAACACATTGTATGTATTCAAATTGATTCCCCACCCACCTACGTTTGTTAGAATTGTCAAATGACATTACTAAGTTTTGATATTTTATCAAAAGGTTTGCATTCTAAGGTCAAATTGTTTTTAATTATTCAAAAGAAAAACTTGGGATAGAAAATACAACTTCATATCTGATACGCAGATTAATCTATCCAAGCCATATAGGATCAGCATGAATGGTATATGGTTGAGATGGACAGTCCCAAGTTTCATGGTGATAACAGCCACTTAATATTTGGTCTGTTCTAAAATATCTGAGAAATTACAAATTTGAGGCAGGTTTTAATATTTTCAGATTCCTATATTCTTTTGATCTTTATACCTGCTACCATAGAAAGTGATAGCTGGACAACAGAAATAGATTCTCCATGCCTTTATTGCATTGGAAAGTAAGTTATATTGTGTGTTCCGTTTCTCTATGCACACACAAAAATAGTCATTTGTTTAACACTGGTTCAGAGTTACTATGGCTGAGTTGTTTAATTGAACTGAATACTTCAGTTGGCCAAGTGTGATTAGACACACAAGGAATTTATCTCCGGTGCCAAAGCACTCAGTGTACATGCAAAGCAACAGAATAATACCAATAAAAAGGAGAGAAAAGAGCATAATAAGGATGAATAATAATACTACAACCACACTACATAAACATTAGCACTGTAAAAATTAGGTGTTCAGCAGAGTCATGGAATGAGGGGAAAAAAACTCCTGAGTAGTTGTTTTGGCATACAATGTCCTATAGCACTGTCCAAGAGAAGGAACTGAAACAAGTGACTTTACAACTATACCACCCTACAGTCAAGCAACTTGGGCTGTTAGCAACTGGCTTGCATTTATGAAGGATGCAGCATCTTATTGGTCACAAGATCATGACAGTTGCAATGTCCTGTGGTCACATATTTGCAACTTTTGGTCTTCTGACAAGCAAAATCAATGGAGGAACCATATTTGCTTAATGACCTTTTAATTCACCAAACCATGGTGATTTTCTTAACAATGGCTGTAAAAATGGTTGTAAAATTAAGTCTGGTCAGGTAATGACTCACTTAATGACCCACTTTGCTTAGTGACAGTAATCAGTTACAACAGCAAAACCCTCTGGAACGAACTACCCCCCGAGATCCGGATGATTCCGGATCTCCTTACTTTCCGCCGCGCCCTCAAGACATGGCTTTTCCAGCAAGCGGGCCTGACCTAGGGAGGATTTTAGTTAGGGACGATTTTTAATATAATTTTAATTACGACACAGCTACCAATATTTGGCTTTTAATTTGGTCTTAGAGGGGTTTTTT